TTTTAAATAGTTGTGTGTATGATCACACTATGTTAATAAAGGATTTTAAAATATTAGGCAATAAGGTGTATTTGATTGTTTACTCAAATTTATATATACTGGTGTATGCGCTGCTCCACTTCCAGACATTTTACATGGGTTACGGTAATATAACAGTTAATCTTTCTTTTTAATGTTAAACATGCAAAATTTTCAGCAAAATACCTGAAATTATATACCAAGTCCTATTAATTCGGGGGGAATTTAGAACAGAAGTGCACTTATCCTATTAAATCAGTGGAAGTCAAATTATTCAAGGATGACTAAATCATATCTACAATCAGCTAAGAAAGGCAGACAAGCCACCATTTTCTTTTAAAGCAGCAATGAACAAGAGTGTTCAATTTCACATGCATTGTGCATATGAAGCAAATAGTACTACAAAAAGCACTGGTATGCCAAATAGTTCTGAAAGCTAAAGCAAAGATGTCAGCTTTACAACAGCTATGTACATCATAAATGAATATGCTTTATTTTGTACAATGAAACAAGATTCTGTATAAAATATTTTCACGCATTTCTAATTCCAGAATACCTTAGTTATAATAAAAGCATTTCCAGTAAAAATAAGATACCGTAAAACCTTAAGATTGCATTCTTGATAGTGAACAGTTTTTATTGGCTGGTAAGAGGGGAAATTATCTTTGAATTATTCCAAATATGATCATGGAAGAAGAAAAAGAATTATTTTTATATGATAAGCTTGTCCTGGATCTCATACCTTACACTTATGTTTAAAACCTGAATAGAATTGAAGTCATCCATGGCAAGGGATAAATCACTTTCACTACACAAAACTTCCTGTGTTTATAAAAAATAACTTTTCTTCCCAGATAAAAAATGTTTACTAGGAAAATAGGAAAGTTAATAATTTAGCCTCATCAATTTGCTGCCCTACAAGTATGTTGAACTAAAAAGGCAAAAGTAAATGTTACCCTGTCCAGTTGTGTCCAACACTTAAGGGGTGGTTCTCAGTTGAGGTAGCCAGCATTGTCCAAAGAGATTTCTCTGGCTAAGGCTCATGGAACACATACCTTCCCACCAAAGCCTATCAATTTGGTGCCCAACAACAGTGGTGGTATTCAACTGGTTCTAGAGTGTCGGTAGGAACGATGAGCAGCGGAGACCAAACCGGTTCCCTCCGCTGCTCTAATGGCTCTGCTGTTGGGCCCACCTGCCTGCCTGAGCTCCCATACTCACGTTTATCCGCTGAATTTGAAGCGCAGCTGCTTTGCACAGCGTAGAATAATGCTGCACAGCAGCTGCTGAAGCGATTGGGAGATTGTGGAGGCTCTGCACCTGCGCAAAGTGCACATGCATGCATGTAAAGTGTGTGCACGCGGGCAAGGTGCGCCCACCAAACCAGTGGCAACAATATTTGAATCCCACCACTGCCCCACAAGTATGTTAAACTATAGTCCTCATCCCTTCAGTGACTAAAAAATAAAGCCTAAAAGAAACTATGCAGGCTTAGTATTATGGAAAGTACAGTAGTGATGAAAAATTTGTGAATCCTTATCCATAAGCTTGAAGTATTATGTCTACAATGTTGTCAGTGCTTGAATAAGAATTATTCAGATAGGAAATTCTGGTGAAACAACACAAATGCTGCAACGTGTCCACTGAACCAACAGCCAATACTTTCACTGATTGTTGGGAAATTTAATTAGAATAATGAGCTCTTTTAAGAAGTCAGATAAAATTGAGCTAGAAGGATCCTCTCCATAAAAGAAACTACTACCCCAAAAGCACATTGACAAACTGGACAGAAGCAGTCTGAATGTAGACATCTAGTAGGTAATTAAAACATTTTATAGACAAGTGAGATTAAGGTGGAATTTGCTGCCTCAGATGTGGACAGTTTGCAATTGCTAACATATCCAAATATATAAATGAGCTGAAGAAGTTCTATAAAAAAGAATGGTCAAAATATCTCCAAACTACTGAGCAGCACTGATCAATAGATATCTCAAAAATGGTTGTAGTCACTGATACTAAAGGAGATACCACCAGTTACAAAATCTAAAATTTCACATACTTTTCCTGTTAAATAATGTGAATGTGGGTTTTATTATATATACAATAAACACATGATGTTAGACTGCTTAATGACCTCATTCCACAGATGACGTTTGCATCACATTGTAGATCACAGTACTGCAAGATTAAGTTTTAAAGAATTCCCAAACTTTTAACTACTTACATTAAAATAACCTAGAGCAGTTGTCTTAAACTTTTTTCTTTCAGGATCCTTTCCAATTTTTAATAATTATGGAGGACTCCAAAAAGCTTGTTTGTATGGATTACATTTATCGATATTTACCATATTAAAAAAATTAAGTTGACAAAATTTAAAAAATTAAGTTGGCTTTCTACCACTGCACTATAGAGAGTATTTTAACTTACTGCACCTGTGTATGGTTTGCTAATTGCACAGTGGCAGATAGGACAGCGCTCCAGAGGGTTAATATCGTTACCAAGAGGATCACTGGTTGCTCTCTCCCTTCCTTGGAAGAGCTTTATAGCTTCCGCTGTCTCAAGAAAGTTCAAAACATTCTTAAAGATCCATCTCATCCTGGGCACCCTTTTTTTTAATTGCCATCTGGCAGATGTACAGGATAATAAAAACAAAGACAAACAGGCTGAAAAACAGTTTCCATCCCAGAGCAGTAACTATACTGAATTCTACTGTATAGTGTAATACTAATATAGTATCAGGTTTTCAATTCAATTGTATAGAACATGAAGGATGTTTTTGTTTTATTTTTATCGTTTTCTTATGTATGATGTCCACTGAAGATGGCATTTAATTTTGTTCTGCGAGGGGCAATGACAATAAAGTAAACACTGCTGTTACCTCTTCTCACAGTTATTTGATGGGATTTTAATACTGGATTACTTTTCAACATAAGTTTGCAAAGAGTTTTAATTTTAAGAACCTGAGAGGTACTTTAAAAAACACTGCCTGAAAAGACAATATGTTAGAGAAATCTGCCAGAAAACCTTTATAAATATCATGCCTATCTACTTACCTATTTATTTACCAATAATACCATTGGTCAAACATAATTTTAATATTTTTACATTGAATAAATCATTTAATGTCCATGATACTTACAAATGGCAGGATGCATTTCTTCACAGTTCCAAACTGAGTAAAATATTCTCGTAGTTCACCTTTTAAAAAATGGCAGGAGATATCGATGTAATAAATTTCAGGCAGTCAGGAGCAAACTAATTTCTAATAGCCATTTTCTCAATTGATGCGTGAGTTATTGTGGGCTTAGAAAATGACCTCCAGAGCAGGACTGGTCACCCTAAATTTCTCACACCCCCTTGGGATGATAATATATAATACGCATTTGACTGGAAATGGGTGACTAAATTTAATTGATGCTGCTCAGAATTTTAGGCTTTAAATTTCAAAGTTTTACAATGCAGAGATGGCAGTGAGTTTTTGGGGAAATCACACCCTCACAATTGTTCAAAACTACAGTAGCATTCACAAAATTATACATTTGATTAATTTTTAACCTAATAACTCTCTGATCAATGTTATAAAAAAGCTAAAATTACAGCTTGTAATTCAAATGAAACACAGATTAAACAGATGATCTCTGAATGAGACAGGTTTACTTTGTTCCTCTATCCATACAACAATGCATGAAGACCAAAAACATTTTTTTAAAAGCAAGCATAACACAGAAGAAAAAATACAGATTCAAATTCAAATGAATGATGAAACCCATTGACTGAGACCACACAATTTACTAATAAAATGAAACTAACCCAATCTTCTGGGTTCATATAAAACAGTGAACTATCACTATGCACACTGGTTGTCTACAAATAACATTCTAGATAAATCTAGGTTCCAATCTTTATATCATGTCCATTTATTCCAGAATTAGTGTACATAAAACCAAAGTTAGCACACTGCCCATGGCTAAATGGACTAAACATTCTCTTCTACCTTGCAGTCTGTACAGGAAACTACACAATACTGGTGACAACTCTTCTGTTTTAAGCAATTCATAACATAACATGATGTATATAATAACAGGGGTTGGAAGGGACCTTGGAGGTCTTCTAGTCCAGCCCCCTCTTCAAGCAGGAGAACCTATACCATTTCTGACAAGTGGCTATCCAGTGTCTTCTTAAAAACCTTCAGTGTTGGAGCACCCACAACTTCTGGAGGCAAGTTATTCCATTGGTTAATTGTTATCATTATTGATTTAATCTTCAATTCGATTCACAGTCTGGGACTGGTAAACATTTAACAGTTCAATAACCAAGGACCTAAGAGTTGTTAAGATAACGACTGAATATATATGCAGTTCCAAGTAAGTGGTTGTTAATCTAAGATTAATAAACGTAAGTATAATAAACATACTAAACATAAAACAATAATTACAATTACAATATTTCCGCTATATAGTGGAATACACGGCCAGACTGAAAGCTTTCACGCGGGCTCCAAAGCTTCATCCTCCCCTGACCGGCGCCATCTAGTTGTCACCTCGTTAAGAACACAAATGTATCGCAGTCAAAACCCGGGACATCTCCTCAAACCAAGAGGTATCGGCAAGAAAGACATCAGCTGGGATAGAAAGGTGGGGAGGGGGATCCGCTTCTGCCTCTTCATAGGAAATAAAGTGGATCCCCGTGCCCAGTAAGAGAGCTGTCTCCGGGATCTACCCCTACCCTTTGGCGAAACAAAAGCTTTTCAGTCCCTCAAACGGCAAGCGAAAGGAAATCCTTAGCACCCCGTTAACTGTCATCAGAAAATGCATCTTCTCCCACTCACTTTCCTCCACGTTCCAGGGTATTCGCCTAACGAAGACCTCGAAGACGCGCCGAGAAACCCCCCTCGCTGCCATCTTAAAATGAGGGGACAACGACCTTGCCCGGCCGAGGCGGTTTCCAGCCAATGGGAGGCTGGCTTCCGCTGCCTCGGCGGAGAACGTGCAAAGTCACGCCTTGAGCTAAGATGGCGGCGGCCACGCGGGAAGAAGATGCGTTCCGTCGCCTCTTTCGTTTCTATCGGCGATGGGAGGGGTCGGATCCTACCGGGGTGATTGACTTCTCCAAGCCAGCGAGCCGGCAGGTAAGCCGAAGGGAACCCTCCACCCCTTCGCCCTGCTGAGCGGATCCTACCGGTCTCTGCTGCCAGGAAAGACGCCTGGAAGGTCTTCCTTTTGAGAGACCCTCCCCTTTTCCGCTGCACGTGCTGCACGTTTTTCCTCATTCGGCGCCTTAACTTCCCGGCGCGCGTATTGGCGCAAAGACTTAGCTGTAACTATCTGGGGAAGGTCTTCATTTGACAATGAAACATCATGGCAGGAAAAGACTTGCTTGGCCAATTCTGACCAGCCGATACCTCCTGGTCTCAGTTTCTAAAGGTTCCCCCCCCCCCACAATCTTGGTGCAGTATTAAGCAAAGTATTGGCCGTATTTGAACCTGCTAAATCGCAAACCATTGTTTAGTGGCAGCCTTGAGGATAAAAATCATGTTATAGTTAACATAAACGATGTTTAAAAGTATCCCGGTAGGATAACGTTTGCCTGTTATGTCGCTGGTTCAAAACTCGGCATTTTTTTTTAAATAGTATGGCGCAAGGGTTAAGAGGAGTAGGAAGACCAGATTTTCATCGATCCTCAACTACAGAAACTTGGGGATTTGGAGTCGGTTGCTGCCTGTCAGTCCAACCTATCATTGTTCTGTGAAGTTTCAAGTGAAACTTGGAAATCTAAGTGAAAGTGAAAATCCCCTTGAGTAACATTGGATGAAATAACAAAATGATCACCTTGTATTCAAGAACTGCTGGGATCTTAGCCTTCTGATGGACAGTATAAACTCTGATTGTTACCCTGATCAACCAAATCTTAAATAAATGTACGCTCTATAGATAATTTTATCCTTGTGCTATTATTTTTTTTGGTCTGAAGAGAGATTACTGCATTGTAAACATTGGCTTATATACTATGCTTGTACCATAATGTTGTGCAAGGAAAATGTGCTTCCTTTTATGACCTTTGACTTCTAATGACAGATGATGAAAGATCAGTAATCAATTCTAAAAAGAAATATGGAGGATAACATAGAAACTACCATGCCATACGAGAATTTAAAAATAAAATAAAATAAAATTCCCCTTCTACAGGTTCTTATTTTTTAAAAAATACGTTTGGATTATCAAAAATAATCCTGCATATTTCTTTTTGTATCCTGATCCCATTATCTTTTCTAGATAGATAGAATTTCTCTGCTGCAAAATGATTTGTGCACCTGATATTTGCAATCTGATAAGAATTAAGTCCTATCTTCAATAACAAAAGATTCCTTTTAATTTAACTAACAACATATTTAAAATTACTATTGTATTGTTTTCTGACTTGCTCAGTTCTTGGACAGGTGACTTAGTCCTCAGTTAATAAAGCAATAAATGCAGTATAAGTATGCTCTCCCAAGCGACTTTCTGAAATAGAAAGTAAACTGTTTGGGTTATAGGATTACCTACTTATTCTCTAGCATAATTTGTAATTAAAATTACAATCTGTTGGATGTTTATCCATTATCCCACTTAGAGTGGGATTCTGGCCTGTCACAAGAATCTGGATGGATATCTTTCTGGGTATCTGATATTCAAGGATTTTTTTTAACTAGGTGGTCACCTATCCTCTGAAGTTAACCTCAGTAAGTGATCAAGATGCCTACAGGGCAGGATTACATCCAGTTACCCAATGGAAAGCTTACAGTCTAGATAATTATCCAGGTGAGCATATTTTGGATATCTCAGCATACATAAAATCTAAACTTAGTCAATAGAACAACTGATAATATATGCAACATTTTTGGAAAAGACATACTTGTGTTTCTGTTTTCTTAAGTGTTCATAATTTAAGTGTCCAGGACAGGCCACATCTACATTTTTTCTTTTTCACCCATTTTTATTTTTATCTAGGATTCATATATATTAATAATCCCTTTCTTCCGGGCTCTCAGTGCCATTGGGTGAAGCAGTGTCTAAAAAAATATATCCAGAAACCTAATGTGTGCAATTTGGACATGCATATGTCTTCTGAAGAAATTACTGATATCTGGGGAAAGAGTAAATTTCAGCTTCGGTAAGTCATATCTCATAACAAACTTGGTAAAACAACACAATAGCCATTATGCTGTAGGTCAGTGGTGTCAAATTGATGGCCCGCGCACCAGATGCATCACGTGCAGGCCACACCCATCCCAGTAAAGGCAAAACCTACAACCTGTGTTGTAGGTTCTTCATTCCTTTCTTGTAAGCTGTGACTACTTTTAATCCCTATGAGTCAGTTGCTAAAAACCAATGTCATATGTGTTCAATCCTCCTTTGCTGAGGATTGAAAGAAGCTCACTTGGTGTCTTCAGATTTTTGTCAATCCGAAAGTTGTTAATAACTAAAAAGCAGTTAATGAGCAATTTATGAAAGTGATTAGAAAAGGAAGTTTGCAAACCCAACATTCTTAAAAGTGGCCAACATGGTTTGAGGAAGAAGGCTATTATTCTCTTGTCTCAGAGCTATAAATCCCCACTGTCTTTCAGTCTCAACACAAGTAGCAAATGTCTAGAGCATTTGGGGTCAATTTCAAGTCCTTTCCTTATCCAGAGAGGAATTATCAAGAAGCCAATCTCTTCACTGGCTCTTCATTCTGTACAGTTATTGGCTTCACTTTCAACAGAGTTTTCCTTCTCCAGAAGTTATAAACTGCATATTTTGGTGTTACCAAGTTCTATGGACCTATTACATCTTACTGAAGAGAAGCCTTTTTAAGAAGCCCATTGTGCAGGCTATGGAATGGAGAAGGCTATCTGACATTTATATGTCCTTGCTTAGTTATCACAATTGGGATTGGCAACTGCCTTGCTAAGCAGAAAATTGTGGGGCAATTACAGACCTACAACCCATTATTTCACATTCAGTTGTTAAGCAAATCATCATGATTGTTGAATGAGACATCATATGACAATGACTTACAATTTGCTCAATTGTAGGTCAAGGACTACCTGTATGAAAGTTAATTTTTTGACCAGCTTTATTTAGAACCATATCAGGGATCTCATTTCATTTTATTTATTAATTTTTATGCCATCGCCATATAAGGCAACTTTTCCATGTTAAACTTTTGTAGAACTTTTTATAATTGAAACTGCTTGTTCTTTATCTTTTTAGAAACAAAAGTGCCAGTAAATCACAGCCAAAAAGCTTATTGGAAAAGTTGCGCTGGGTAACTCTAGGTTATCACTATAACTGGAATTCAAAGGTATGCAAGAGGGCAATAGAGCCTCCTAAATGATGTGACAGCAAATATTTGTTTTTATTTTTTCTATGGATGGCACCAAGGACCACAATCATACACCAGGGTTTTAACCCAAAATATTCTAATCATAATGTCAGTCTGAACTGAAAAAAGCATTCTTTAGCAGCCAGCTACAGACAAGGTTAACTCAATGAGCTTTGAGCTTTTAATTGTCCGGTCTTCATAAAAACTGACTGGTTACCAACCTTCTAAGTACAAGATTCTGGGTCCTGGCATGTTACAAAAACTGTGAATTATATATCTGTTTTAAGTCATTTAAGCATTGTTGGCAAAAACACTATATAAAGTACAGTATATATTAATTCAGTTATGCTTTGAAGTTGCTTTAAGTCACTGTGGGGGAAGTTAGTTAAGTTACGCTGCAAAATTGCTATTTCAGTTAAAAACATTTAACCAACCTTATGAGCTACCACAGAGAGAAATTGCTTCAGGTAATAGCACTTCATATTTTAGAGAATTGTTATACTTGAGTTTGCAAGAAAGAAATTAATTATTTTCCTTCTATAATTTTGGCATGCTGGACTTTAAGTTAGATAGTAACCTAAAGTTCATTTTAGATTATTAAAAAGTAGCAACCTAAACTTCAGTTTAAATTATTTCAGTTTAAATTACTTTAAAATATTTCTTATATGCTGGCTTTGTTACTTAAAAATTATATTTGCAACTTCTTTGTGCTTTCTTCTAGAAATATTCAGCAGATAACCATACCCCTTTCCCATCTGATCTGGCTTTCCTGTCAAAGCAGGTGGCTAAAGCTTGTGGATTTCCCAGCTTCCAAGCAGAAGCAGGGATCCTGAACTATTATCACTTTGATTCATCTTTAGGAATTCATGTGGATGAATCTGAACTGGACCTTTCTCCACCTCTTTTATCATTCAGGTAAGTGCAGATATTTTTAAATGTATATTATGTATATTTCACACATTCTTCTGACAGGTGCAGACCTACATTTCTGGAGATAATAACCAGATATGCCAATGATGGTTTAAACCGGGGATTCAGGGCCAAAGGGTAGCTACAATATGTGAAAACCAAAATAGTAAGTAGCATTTTATTTATTTCATTTTATCTTGATCTTTCTTTTCTCAATGGCACATCTTATTTCCTCACATCATTTTATGACATATCTTGATGAACTCTATCACTCAGCCTATTTACCTATAGGTCTCCAAGTTCTTTGAACTGGTAGACACATTTGAAATTTTGAGGGGATGTAAATTAATTTGTGGAATAGCTTGCCTTCAGAAGTTGTAGTGTTCCATCACTAGAGGTTTTTAAGAAGAGATTTGACAGCCAATTGTCTGGAATGATAAGGGTGTTGGACTAGAAGACCCCTCCAACTCAGTTATTCTGTCATTCATACCATCCATCACTTATGTTAAGATTACTTCGTAGACCCTGCTCATGAACCCATCTATAGACCTGCTGGCAATGTAAGCACTAAGAAGGCCAATTACAGAATGCTATCCAGAAGAAGGATGACTAGCTCCCACTCTGTCTAGATAGCTTAAGTAGTTTGCTCATCTGAAATTTTACAAGGTAAAAACCAGTGTTAGGCTAAACTTTAATAAGTAATTTAATTAAATAAACTGTAATTAATTGTTCAGCTAAATCTATATTTTCATTATTTTTCTTTAATCAATCATTTCAGTGAATTATGCTCCTCCTTTGTACTGGTATATTTGGAATATAATAATAATATTTATCTGTTAAATCTGTTACATTTAAAGTTTTGTTGGCCTTTCCAAAAACTGTACAGATTTGTTTTAGGGCTGATATAAGGTATACAGGTTTCAAGAGGTATTGTTTTGTAATCTCCTAAGTAAATTAATTCTTTGTAAAAACAAGACCCAATTTGATACAAGTCTGGTGGTTTCAATATTCTGCATTATAATGAAGCTTTTGAATAGCTTACTAAAAGGAGAACATTGTTTTAAAAAGTATAAAGTTGTCTCATATTTGTGTGTAGCTATAGTTTTACTAACTCATTTTTTTTTTCTGTATTAACTTTCTAGTTTCGGACAGTCATCCGTATTTCTGCTGGGAGGATTGAAACGAGATGAAACCCCTGTGGTCCTGTTCACACATAGCGGAGACATTATGATAATGTCTGGTTTCAGCCGCCTGCTGTATCACGCAGTTCCCAAGATCCTTCCCAATCTAGAAGGAAAGCCTTTGCCTTCTTCCTTAGAGCTACCACTCTCTGCTGACTTTCCTGCAGATTCTGTGATTGAGCCCTGCTCCAATGATGATTGGCAAACATGTGCCAGATATTTGGAAGCATCCCGTATTAATATGACTGTGAGACAGGTACTCGCTGAAGGTCAGAGCTTCTTGTCTGAAACTTGGACACAGAACAAACAAAATGTCTTCTCCGCAGACTATCATGAAAAATATACAGAAACCAAAACACACAACCCTATTACCAACAAATGAGCTCATCTTTTTTTAATCATGACTTCACAAAAAGCCAACACACAGCAGAAGAAATGGGATATGCCATAGAAAGAAAATTGATTAGCTCTGAAAATAAATATATATATGAACTTCACAGCCAAAGTGTATGGTTCAGGTGAGGAAATCCAGTGTTGTTTCTGTCTTGACATAGCAAATCTATGTATTTTGATCTAAGTTATTTTGATGCTTTGCAGAAATCAACACTTTCCTTAGTCTATAAATACTTACTTGTTATTTGCTTTAAGATATCAGAGAGGAGGCTTCAGTTAAAAAGCAGATTTGGGCAATCCAGAATGTGCTTGATGGGCAGCTGAGCTCTGAACTTCTCTGGCACAATTAGTTGTTCCTTCAGTTTTTGTGTGTGTTTGGAACCCTTCTAGCCTCACTAGCACTCTCCTTTACACAAAAGTTAATTTATCTTTGCACATCATATCACTAGGCAAGATTTTCTACCAACAGCCTTGTAAAGGCTCATCTGCTTTTTGCAGAAGAATTTATGTCTCCCTGCCAATCCTCACCACAGGGAAATCCATCTCTCTTTGGCTGTGATGTTTGTGATTGTTTCTCAGCTTTCATTGGGTCTTGCTGTCCCATAGTGCCTGAATTTTTTTTGGGTGGGGGGGGGATTTGGGATTTCAGTTGAGCTACTTGAAAGGCTGCTAGCATGCCAGCCAGCACTTCACTAATTATAGATATGTCCATCCCCAATACCATATCAACTGAAAGTCCTTTGACACTTCCCACAGCAGTGATTTTCAGATACTCTACCGTATCACTTGTTCTATCATGAATATTTTCCTTTGTCCCCAATGATGCTTCCTTTCTGGGTTCACCTGCAATGATTCTTCGATTGCTTTTCCTTGTGTTTTCCTGTGTCATGTAGAGCAGTGGTCGCCAACTGGTGGGCCGTGGCCTACTGATGGGCCACGAGAAAATTTTGGTGGGCTTCAGAGAAATCTCACCCCCAGAGCACCTCCCCCAAAGCAGTTAATCCAGGCTGCACAGAAACATAAGGCTGCGTTGCCCACATGGCTCATGGGAACCCTCCCCCCCACTCACTCCTTACCTGGCAAACTTGCCTGCTAAGTTGCTATTTTTCCTTTTTCCGACCATCAGCCGTACCAGGAGATTTAAATTAGCTAGGAAGCAGGAAATGGTTGGATTTCTGGCTTTCTAGCTAGTCTTTAGATCTTCGGCTCTGCTTTTAAGCAGAGCCGAACCTCCCTTAGGACTGAAGATTCTATTATTCAGTGCAGACTCACAGCAAGCAAATTTTATGTGACAGACTCAGGTAGCTGATGGCAGATAGATCACTGAATGATTCTGTGAGCAACTCAATTTGCCTGTCTGCTTTGCCTGATTTTGGGTAAAAGTTGCTCTTTTTTATAAAAAAAATCAATATTTACGTACATGGTATGTTGTGAATTAATTTTATGAATTTGTTTGCAAGCAAATTTTATGTGACAGACTGAGTTAGCTGATGGCAGATAATAGATCTCTGAATCTGTGATTCTGTGAGCAACTCAATCTACCTGCCTGCTTTGCCTGATTTTGTAAAAGTTGCTCTTTTTTAATAATAAATTCAATATTTATATAAATATTTATAATATTTACATACAAGCCATGCCCAGCCAGACACATGACCACCAAGCCACACCCATAAATTAGGCCATGCACAAGAACCGACTGTTAAGTAACTTGAATCCTACCCCTGCGTCTATATGTTTGTGTGTATGAGAGAGAGAGGGAGGGGGAGAGAGAGAGGCTAGATCAGATCTCTCTCTCCCACCAACATCAGCAAGCCACCATCAGTCACAATTCATATTAGTGGTCCCCGGCATTTAAAATTATGAGTTTGTTGGCCCCTGAGGTCCAAAAGGTTGGCGACCCCTGCTCTAGAGCAACTTTTACCCAAAATCAGGCAAAGCAGGCAGGCAAATGGAGTTGCTCACAGAATCATTCAGTGATCTATCTGCCATCGGCTACCTGAGTCTGTCACATAAAATTTGCTTGCTGTGAGTCTGCACTGAATAATAGAACCTTCAGTCCTAAGGGAGGTTCGGCTGTGCTTAAAAGCAGAGCCGAAGATCTAAAGAGTAGCTAAAAAGCTAGAAATCCAACCATTTCCTGCTTCCTAGCTAATTTAAATCTCCTGGTACAGCTGATGGTCGGAAAAAGGAAAAATAGCAACTTAGGAGGCAAGTTTGCCAGGTAAGGAGTGGGGGGGGGGTTCCCGCGGGCCATGTGGACAATGCAGCCTTGTGTTTCTGTGCAGCCTGGATTAATAGCTTTGGGGAAGGTACTCTGGGAGTAAGATTTCTCTGTGGCCCACCAAAATTTTCTCACGGCCCACCCGTTGGCAACCGCTGATCTTGAGTGCCGAGATGACATAGGTAGTCCTCAACTTATGATCACAATTAAGCCGATTTCTGTTCCTAATTGAGACCGTTAAGTGATTTTGCTTCATTTTATGACCTCCTTTTCCACAGTTGTTAAGTGAATCGCTGCAGCTGTTAAATTAGTAACACAGCTGTTAAGTGAATCTAGCTTCCCTATTGACTTAACTTGTCAGAAGGTTGCAAAAGGCAATCACTGGGACATTGCAACTATCATAAATGCAGGCAGTTGCCAAGCTTCTAAATTTTGAACACATGGGGATGCTGTATAATGGTCGTAAATGTGAAAAAGTTGTAAGTCACTGTTTTTCAGTGCTATAGTAAGTTTGAACAGACTTACTAAACAAATGATTGTAAGTTGAGGTCTACCTATTGTGGACTATCCAAGTTTTTAGGCCCTTACAGAAGCCAAGAAAGTGAGGACAAATCTCACCTTTAGTGGGATAATGTTCCAAAGGGTAAGTAGCATAGCAGAAAAGACTCTTATCCTGGACTTTGCCAGCTGCAAGTCCTTGACATATGGGATCCACAGCATGCCCCTTCTGAAAGCACAAGTGGAGTGGGCCAATCCCTCAGCCTGGACCTATGTCAAAAAGGGCTTTAAATGTAATAATCAACATCTTTAATTGGATCTAGAACAAATCAGCAACCAGTGCAGCTCAGGCATGAGAGATGTTACATGACCCATCCCAAGGGCCCCTGAAACTCTTCATGCTGCTGCACTTTGTGCCAGTTGAAGCTTCCAAATAGGCTTCAAGGGTAGACCCATGTAGAGCGCATTGCAGTAATCCAAGCATGAGATAACTGAGCATGAGTGACTGAGTTTAGGATGTCATAATCCAAGAAAAGGCACAGCTGGAACACACTATGAAGTTATTCAAAAGCTTTGTTAGCCAACTAGCAAATAACCTCTAGGTAAAGCATGGAATCTGTCCAGGGAAGTGCAATCCCGTTGAACTAAAGATGTTAAACTCTCAACTCTTGAGGCTCAGTGTACCCATAGTCACTCACACTGTTCAGGCTTTATCTGAACTCTGTTGTCCCTCATCCAGAGCCCCACAGTTTCCAGGCACGGTGAAAAGGCAGGAACAGGAACACTTTTATCACCCAGGATGGAGATATAAAGTTGAGTTATCAGTGACTGATGATATTTCATTCCATGATGTTGAATGATATCACCTAAGGCTTCATTTAGATGTTAAAAGGAAGTGCAGAGAGTAGTGACTACAGGCTGGACCTGTTGCTTCCTATCCCTGTGAGGTGCATGTTTCTATTCTAAGCTAAACAGGAAGAGAAAAGTTTTGTTCTTATAGATACCTACATATTCAACAAGCTGGATGCAGTTGATTCTTCTGTTAGATTTTGGCACTGTGAGCAATGCAAGGCCAGACTTCACAGCAGAAACAGAGAAATAATCAAGAGGATTAAAGAGTATTACCATTGCCCTTCAGCAGGATTCCTGACTAGGATGAAGCGCCAAGCTGAAGAGACAGTGGAAGGAACATTCCAAGTTATTAATGTCTATCTGGCCAACATGAGGCCCCAAGTCTATTCCGCAATACCTGAAACTTCAGCCTTGAGAAAAACTATGTGGCACAAGCAAAATGAAGTACAGGCAGCATCTTTAGACCCAATCAGTCTGGATGAACTTGTATTACCTGAGGAATACAAGATCTATTTGCCAACACTGGGTGTAGAAGAGTCGTTCTTACCGGGCAATTTCAGAAAGGGACCTAGGACAATCAAAATATTCGGCAGAGGTACTTGATTGTACATTCTGCAATTATCTGACACTTGGTATGTGGACACCACTTTTGCAATTGCTCCTAAAATCTTTGTTCGGGTTTATGTCATCCTAAGCAAAGCAGTACGAGGACGTACTCCTGTGTTGTATGCACTTCTACCTAACAAATAGCACCTTACGTACAAACAGCTGTTTCACTTCATGAAAAACCTAGTGGCTAACACTCAGATGCTGTCCATTTACTGCGATTTTGAAGTGGCTGCCATGAATGCCACCAGGAGATGTTTCACAGAAGTCACTTTCTTCCACCTCACCCAGAACACGAAGCACTTGATAAGAAGTGGAGCTGCCCATAACTTCACCACCAATGCTATAAAGACAAAACTAATTGTGGCCTTGGCATTTGTGCCTGCCCTGGACCTGGAAGAATATGTTGCTGCTGTAGAAGAATATCTGCCAGGAGAGCTGCAATCTGTTCTGAACTGGTTTGAGCACAACTACATAGGTCATCCAGGCAGGAGGGGATAAAGAAGACAAGCTTATTTTTTAGCCCACACAGTGGAAATACAGCATTTTCTGTGGAGGGAAATGCTTTGCGGATGTGTGACAAGACTTAACTTGGAGGGGAAAAGGTAGCTGATCTCTTGGTACTCATTTGGGAGGGTGGGAAAGAGATATGGCATGTCAGGTCTTCGGAGCAGCTTGGGGACCTCTGTCTTCTTGAAACTCCCCGTGCCCTCTTCCACATCTTCACAGATTCACTCAAGCGCACACCAAACATTCAAAGAAGATGAAAGAGTGGGAAGGAAAGCCCCACGGCACTTAAGCTCACAGTCAGCACTCTGATAGTATGCAAACACCAATCTCCCTACATACAACCATCCACCCCTTAGAAAACCTGTTCCATTGGCTAGCAGAAGAGAAAGCGTACTCGTCCATGCCCTCCATCCAACTCTTACTCGGGACCTAGTAACTATTTCTTTAGATGCAGTCCCACCCAGGCTCCTACCCTGGTAATGGGCTATCACCTTGAAGTAGTCTGCCTTCCTCTAATGTTGGGGCTCCTATCTAGTTCTCAGTGTCATCATCAGTGGATTGTTTCCAGCCTCTTGGCCACCAAGTTCCACTTGCTCTCTCACATCTCAGTTTCATCACTTGTTGCTACTGCTGTTGAAAACCCCAGGTCCAGCTGCCAGCTGTTATCTTTGGCCCTTTTGCTTTCGCCAGCTATGCAGCTCCACTGTTGCTGTTGCTTGAGATATTTTGGTTCCACTCTGGCTTCTCTGCTGGATCACTACCATCAGCATCCTTATCATGGGGCTCCATACAACTGCAGCCAGTTCTGGCCCTGATCCTAGCCCTAGCAGAGGCCCTGGCTCCAAATCCAACCCACCACTAAATCCACACCTGCTGGATCCTCGCCTCCGCCTCTGTGCCAAATTGACTGCCATCACTATTCCCAGGACAAACTTTGACCTTACCATTGCTACGCAACCAATCCCCTCCACATTTAGGTAGGAGCACATACACAGGTACTAGCTAGGGGAAGAAGAGGCACTAGAGAGGAGAAGGAAGTGTTAAAAGAATATTGCTGCAAAGTGCCTAGTGCAACAGATTTCAGCAATTGACTTATTGTTTTGTTTCCCATTTCAATTTTCTTTCCCATTTTCCTTGCTCCTGCCAAACTCATGCCCTCCACCAATTACTCATAACTCTTTCTCATTGTTGCTTCTCCATTCTTTGTGTTGCTCCATGCCATGCATATTCCTCATGTTTTACATCAGGGGTGTCCAACCTTGGCAACTTTAAGACTTGTGGACTTCAACTCCCAGAATTCTGGGAGTTGAAGTCCACAAGTCTTAAAGTTGCCAAGGTTGGACACCCCTGTTTTACATGATCTTTTGCCTCTTCCCCACCCCCACTCAACTA